TGGGGTTGGGTGTAACGTGGGGTTGGGTGTAACGTGGGGTTGGGTGTAACAGGGAGTGCCGCCAACCCTCAGACGCTGATAGTCTGAAGCATGCTGTATTCCCCCTCTCTGGGCGGGGTTTGTCATAGTCGAGTGTATCGGAGTGCGTGTTAATGCTACTTTTCTAACACCAGGCACCCGCACCACGGTCGCTATGGCAGCAGCAGCCGGGGCGCCGCGCTCCTCCACGCCCGTCATCTTTCCGGAGCCGGTTCTTGCCGCGTCCCTTAATTGCCAGCGCCTCTGCGGGGTTCTCTCTCCAAGCAGCCTGATGTCGCTGTAGCTCATTATGCTGATAATTTATCTGTCGAGCGGGTTCTTTACCGCGGGCAGCTCCGACGGACACGCTGTTGTTTATTAGGGTTAGGCGGCTCGGCCCTCACTGAAGCAGCTTCATCGAGCTGCAGAGGCTCCCAGCTGGGCTTCGGAAAACCTCTCCCAGCCTGTAGGTTTATTTCTTCATTGTAAAACAAATCAGCTTCTCCTGCTTCCCATTGTCAGTCCAGCCTGGGAATCCTGCCTGTACCTTTTGTACGTTTTCTGCTGTTTTGCCTGTACAGTTTGGTTTCTCTTAGTGACTGACATGGTCGCTCGTTATCCTGCCTCTTGCCGTGGGGCAACCCTGCATCCGGTTGGCCTGTTTTGTAGCTCCATCAAAACCTTTATATTTTACAGTGGAGGTGTTGCAGCCTGACTCTACAGTGTGCCCTCTTTGAGACAACTTTAGTATGTTGAGTGTTCGTGTGTGTGTGTGTGGGTTATGTATCCATTACATTGGTCCCATAGAAATGAATGGAGAATCCCCACAAAAGCATGGGTACAAATGTGTGTTTTAGATATTAATGAGAGATGAGTGGTAAGTTTTTCACATCTTTTCCCAATATTTCTGCTACATCTTGCATATGCAGCTCAGATTAGTCATATTACGGTTGTGCATTTACTTATGTTCCGCTGCGGCTGCGTGTCGTGGTCTCATTTTGAACATTTCTTGTTGTGTTTATGTGTTTGTGTTTAGCAGTAGTAGCAACTGTAGTAACACTTGAAATGCCCCTGTGTCTGAGCAATGGAGAGAGAGAGAGAGAATCTCACTCATCGTTTGTCCTGTCGTCCTTCAGGAGATGTTCACACCAGAGTGTAAGTTCAAGGAGTCAGTCTTTGAGAACTACTACGTCATCTACTCCTCCATCATGTACCGGCAGCAGGAGTCCGGCCGGGCGTGGTTCCTAGGGCTCACCAAGGATGGCCAGGCTATGAAGGGGAATCGCGTGAAGAAGACTAAACCATCCTCACATTTCCTACCCAGGCCCATCGAAGGCAAGCCGAGTTTCCCCTTAGTGACGGGGCATCTTTCCCTGTCTATGAGCTGATCGTTGCTAATGTCTAAAAGCTCAGTTCCTTTAAAGCTAGGCGCTAACTGCTAACCTGCTAACTGCTAACCTCAGTGCGCGTTTCCTGACTTGTGGCATCTTTTTGGGATGTGTTTTTGAGAGTGAGCTCTCTCTTCCCTCCCCCTCCTCCCGCCCCTTGCCCCCCCCCCACAGTCTGCATGTACAGGGAGCCGTCGCTGCACGAGATCGAGGAGAAGCAGCGCTCCAGGAAAAGTTCAGGGACCCCCACCATGAACGGCGGCAAGGCCGTGAAGCAGGACTCCACATAGCAGGAGCGCGTCGCCGTCTCCCTCCCGTTGTCAGCGGCAGCCGACTCCACGCGACAGACAAACTGAGCTCCTGCCTGTGAAGTATTTTAGACTTAAAGGGAAAAAAAATATATTTTAAATCAGGACATGAATTTACACTTTATGCAAAGCCTGTGACACAGGGAAGCTAACGTCTTCATTCCGGTATTTACTTTCTAATCGATGCTTGGGAATGTACGCTTTAAGCCATGCTGCAGTTTCACGCGTTATTTTCTGGATGCTCGGTTCACTCGCTTTCTCTGTTGCTCTGGTTATGAATACTGATGCCGTTGTCAGGTTTGCTGCCAGTGTGGGAGCCGGTGGATCGCCGTCGGCGACTCGCTGTGTCGCCCTGGGGTATTAAGAAAGTCGTCCAATAGGAAGTGATATTTACTGCGGAGCACATGTGACATCGTCCCCGAGTGTAAGGTGGGGGGCAGCAGAGTGGGTTTGGCTGCTAATTGCACCCTGGGTCAGCAGGTGGAACCCCTGAGCACAGCTTCTCTCCAGGGTGGGGTTTAACGGCACAGGTGTGTAAAAAGGCATCACCATTCTTTATCCGCTTGAACGGCGAGCCACTTCACCTCATTGATTGCAACCTCTTTCCGTTCGACTTCACCGACGTTTCCGCCGCACGCTTGCCCTCCGTTTACCGGCGGCACCGCTGACCCGTCAGGCCTCGCGGCGACGGACGCGGCTCTCACAGCGTTTCGCGATGCAGGATGATTGACAGATCAGAGGATCCTGTCCGTAGAGTAGACCTTCAGAGTCCGCCCGAGAACCCCTGGACCTGTGAAAACTCAGGAAGACATGGTGAACCCCGAGGCTCGAGAACCACAACCTTGATATAGCTACAAAGCCAACTGCACAATCGCTGGGCAATAATATAGAGCAGGGACCTCGAAACAGATTCCCTCCAGTTTGTTCTTGAAGAGACCCAGCCCATTTGAAGTTTTGTGTTCCGTTCGCAAAACACCGTAGTGTCTGTCTCAAGTCTTCCACTGGGGGGCGACAGTGAGGGCTGGGGGGAAAAGGAAGTGTATTGTGGAGGGTTAGGGGAAGACAGGCTGAGGGAGACCCCACGAAGGTAAGATGGGATTTTCGCCTGGGTGAACTCAGATTTCTGTTTGTGTTTGCTGAATGTTTGCACTTAAAACACTGTCATATAGGCATTATGAAACAAAAAATGAACGTTGAAAATACGCATCAGAATGAAAAGTGATCATTTAAAATAAAAAAAAATGAAACCACAAATGCATATTTAATTGCTGTGCCGTTCTGCATTCTGTCACACACTCCCTCTGGCAGCCTGAATGTGTTGGCTGCAGTGGTAATACTCAAACAAGGCGACCGAATGGCTGCAGTGGTAATACTCAAACAAGGCGACCGAATGGCTGCAGTGGTAATACTCAAACAAGG